GACTCTGAAGGTGATTCCTTATGGTACCTTTTACAGCATTGTCAAATTGCATTTGTGCTTGATAGGCTGTCCCGGGGTACACCATAAGGGGTACAACCCCAATTAGGTCTAGCACTTGTACACATCTCTCACACTAGTCCATTATTCCATCGAGTAGGTTTCTAACATGGTTTTAGAGTAGGAAGTCAATCCTATTAGGGTCCACCGTTCCGCACTACCGAAGTGCCTTAGCGATGCCTCCCTGACCTTCCCTACTCGAAGCGCCTAGCGCTGCCTTACTGCCAGCGCGCTGGCGTGGTTTTTTCACGGTCGCGACCCCCCCTACTGCCCGTTTTGTAGCACTGTCGCAAACCCCCCTGCCCGCGCCCCAGCTGCTCAACGCGCCGCTCGCGCTGCCCGCTAGCATATGCGCCCGGTCCTCCTCCTACCCACACTCCCCGCGTGCACCTGCGCGCTACCCGCCCGCGCCCAGCCCGAGCGCTACCCGCGCTGCCTGCACACACCCAGCCCGCGCGCTGCTGCTGCTCCTGCTGCTATGCGCCTTCTCCTACGCTCTGCTATACTGCTGCTCCTTGACGCGCTACTGCTAAGCGCTGCACGCACTGCTACAGCTGCGCTCTGCCCTTAGAAGCCCCTACCCTCCAGCTGCTGTTGCTACTAAGCTGCTGCTGCCGCGCTGCCTAGCCGTTCGCCCTGCACCCTGCACCGAGTGAGCTGTTGCTGCTGCTGCTAAGTGCTGCTGCTGCATGAATTGCTGCTGCTAGTGCTAAACGCGCTGCTGCAACTGCTACGTGCTGCCGGCACGCACCCAGCCCGCGCGCTGTTGCTGCTGCTGCTGTGCGCCTTCTCCCAAGTTCTGCTGCTGCTGCTACTTGCTGCGGCTGCTGCTCCTTGCTGCTGCTGCTGCTGCTACTTGCTGCAGCTGCTTTTACTTGCTGCAGCTGTTACTCCTTGCTGCCGCTGTTTTTGCTCCTATTGCCGCTGCGCCCCACCCAGCCTGCACCGCGCAGCCTTGCCTCAGCAGAACTACCCTACTGCTCCTACTGCTGAGTCTGCTGCTTCTACTGCCACTACTGCTCCTACTCCTACTGCTGTTGCTATTGCTGCTGCTACTGCAACTATGGCTAACGATTAGCTTTTATGTATGGCTCGATGATCTCCAACTGTACCTGCAGAGTGAGGCTAGGGATGGAATTTCACTGTTCGTGCATGCCGAAGGAACCCTCCCAGCCCTAGCTGCTACAGCGGTAGAGGATCATTCAAAGTGGATCATGCATGACGCCACTGCCCGCCTTACTATTCGCAACCATCTGCCCGTAGCTGAGCGCGCGCACTTTAGCCAGCAGAAAACAGCCAATGCCCTCTATGACGCTGTAGTCGCTCGTTACTCCTCCCCAGCTACTGCTGCCCTAGGCCGTCTAATGATGCCATACCTGCATCCCGAGCTAGCCGACTTCCACACTTCTCTGACCTCTTTACCCACCTCCGCTCTACTGAGGCTCGCTACCGCGCCGCTCTCAAGCCGGCCTTCCTCGCTGCGAACCCCCCCCCCCCCCCCACTGTATATGACATTGTACTTCCTCGTCACTCACCTCCCTGACTCCCTTTGCACTGTCAGAGACCAGTTCCTAGCCCTTGACCCCACACGCTCGACTCGCTCAAGAAGTCCCTTCTCGAGTCGCTGTCGCTGCCTCTCGCGGCACTCCTCGCTCCCCCTTCTTTGAAGGGTGTACTCCCTCCCCCCTCCTCCCCTCAGTTGCTACTGCTGCTGCTGTCCACCTCCTTGGTGCTGAGGAAGTTGCCGCTGCGTCTGCTCCCGGTGGAAGGTGCAACAACAGCAAGGGCAAAGGGGGCAAGGGGGGTGGGGGTGGCTCTAGCGGTGGAGGTGGCAGGGGTGGTGGTGGCGGGGGTGGAGGCGGTGGGGGTGGCTCTGGGGGTGGCGGAAGTGGAGGCGGACGGGGTGGTGGAGGTAGCGGGGGTGGTGGAGGCAGCAGGGGTGGTGGAGGTGGCGGGGGTGGTAGCGGAGGTCGGGGTGTAGCTGGCAAGGGTGGAGGCCGTGGCGGTGGTGGCTCTGGACAGCAGCTGCCGCGCCTCCCGGACAACCCCACCCCTCAACAGCTGCGTGAGTGGGTTGTCCAGCGTGTTTCCCCTGGGGGATCTGGTCGCTGCCCGTACGTCAGGCGCACTGGGAAGCTAAAGGGTCAGCCCTGCGGGAAGCTGCACACCGAGTACCACTGTTTCGGCCATCTTGAGGATGCCTGGGTGGATGAGTACGGGGAGGAGGCGATTGTCCCCCACTGGCTGAAACTGCATATCTATGCAGATGTGTGTGCTCTTGACTTTGTAAAGATCAATTCTGCCATCTATGCTATGCATGTGACTGAGCTTAGCGATGACGGTGTGTGTTACTCGTATGTACCTCGTGATGTTGGTGTCAATGTTGCTGCTCTAGGTGCTAGTGAGTCTGCTGCGGCACTAGGTGCTAGTGAGTCTGCAGTCCCAGGTGCTAGTGAGTCTGCAGTCCTAGGTGCTAGTGTGTCTGTTGCTAGTGCATCTGCTGCCTCCGCTGAGGCCCTTCACACTTTCACACTTGACTCAGGCGCATCTCGTTGATTCTTTCGTGACTGCACCACACTCACACCACTAGCTGCACCGGTACCAGTCTCATTGGCTGACCCCACTGGGTGCCCAGTAGTCGCACGAGCCTCCACTGTCCTTCCATGTCCAGCTGTCCCCTCCGGTTCTCTGTCAGGTCTCCACCTCCCCACGTTTTCGACGAGCTTGGTGAGCAACGTCGCTCTTCAGGATGTATGGGTTGACACCTTTACTCCAGGAGGGTAGCGTGAGGCAATCTGTACGTGCTCCCAGACTGGCCGTCACCTTGCTACATTCACTCGACGGCCTGGGTCTAGTCTGTACACACTGACCACTGCGTCTGCACAGGTGGCTGAGTCAGGTCAGGTAGCTGTGTCGAGTCAGGTGTCTGCGTCTGGTCAGCTTGCAGCGTCTTGCTCGTGTCGGGTACTCTCCCACCAGACTCTCCTCTGGCACCACCGCCTCGGTCACCCCTCACTGTCGCGTCTCCGCAGCATGCACTCCCATCTCCTTATCTCTGGGCTTCCCAGGTCCCTGCCCTCCCTCCCGCGCTCGCCTGCCCCGCCGTGCCTTCCCTGCGTTGAGGGGCGGTAGCGCGCCGCTTCTCACTCCTCCGAGTTTCCTCCGACCACTGCTCCTCTGCAGACTCTCCACATGGACGTGTGGGGCCCAGCCCCCGTCAGTGGAACGGACCAGGAGCGCTACTTCCTACTGGTGGTTGACGACTACACACGCTACACCACTGTCTTCCCCTTGCGACGCAAGGCAGACGTCAGCGGTGTTTTGATCCCCTTGATCCGTGCTACTCGTCGCCAGCTGCACGAGCGGTTTCGGCGGGACTTGCTAGTCATGCGTCTGCACTCTGACAGGGGCGGTGAGTTCTTTTCTGGCCTCCTTGCGGAGTTCTATCACGACGAGGGCATCCGCCAGTCGTTCACACTTCCGGCCTCTCCTCAGCAGAATGGGATTGCTGAGCATCGCATTGGCTTGATCATGGAGGTTGCTCGTACCTCCATGATCCATGCGGCTGCTCCCCATTTTGTGTCGCCATTTGCGGTCCGATACGCCGCGCATCAGCTCAACCTTTGGCCCCGTGTCTCTTTGCCAGAGACCTCGCCCACACTTCGTTGGACGGGAGAGGTTGGCAATGCGTCAGTGTTTCAAGTCTGGGGCGCGCTCTCCCTTGTTCGTGATGCCATCGCGAGCAAGCTCTCCCCTCGCACTCTCCGCTGCGTCTTCCTTGGCTTCCCCACCGACGCCTCGTTGTGGCAGTTCTACCACCCGCGCTCATGTCGAGTCTTCTCCTCCCAGAACGTCACCTTTGACGTGTCTGTCAGTTACTACAGGCTTCACCTGCACGCGTCCCACCCGGTCCCCCTCGCGCCTCTCTTCCTGGTACCAGTCCCCCCCCCCCGGGTAGACCCCCTCCCCTCACAGGGTCCTGCTCTCTCAGGTGTGTCTCAAGTAGACCCACCCCCTTGGTTGAGCCTTTGGAGATCTCTTCTGGCCCCTCTGGCCCGGCTGAGGGGGTTGACCTCGCCGCTGACGACACGGCGGCCACTCGTTGCTCTCCACGCTTGGAGACCCCCCCTGGTTTTCCGCGTAGGCCGTCTTTGCCGCCTCCGCAGCCTGCTGATGTGGACTCTGGAGCTGAGACTGCTGGTGCTGAGCCTGGGGGTGCTCAGACAGAGGGTGAGGGTTCTGGGGGTGCTGCGACTATGGGTGTTGCGACTAGGGGTGCTGTTTCTGGGGGTGCTGCAATTGGTGTTACGATGCGATCTTAACTGGTAACCGGGTTTAAGGAGGGCCTAGGCTTAGAAGCCTAGGCCAAGCGAGTGTCGAATGAGTTGTGCCAAGTGAGAATTGAGAATGATTGGTTTCACTATAGCACACAAGGTACATATAGCAAAATAGCAACGGTGCACCACCAACAACAAGAAGGCATAACTACACTAAAGCTAAAGCTACAGGCAGTTATAAACATATATAAAATATATATCGCGACACACCCACTTAACTGCCTGCAGCACATAACTATAGCAAGTCACACCCCCGGAACCTGGGCAAGAGGTAGAAGAAGCAGGGGAAACAGCAACACAGATCAACCATGTAAAATGCAACAACGGCAAGTGCAGGACCCGAGAGGTGGGCATGAGAGCAAGCGCCGTGGCTGCAACGAGCAGGTGGACAGCGCGGCTCAGCACCTCCGGGGGCGTGCCTGCTACAGGCAGCAGATGCAGTGATGGCAGATAGAGCCACAGTGACCTCAGCCACGGCAGATGCAGCAGCAACAGGTGCAGGACCTGGCAGGTGGGCGTGAGAGCAGGCGCTGTGGCTGCAACGAGCAGCTGGACAGCACCGCTCAGCACCTCCGGGGGCGTGCCTGCTACAGGCAACGGCTGCAAATGCCCGACTTACTTCTTCCACCCCCTTACCCGCCACTCAACCCCTCTGGTGTTGGCGGCTGGCGCTGGTGCTGGTTCCTGGTGCTGGCGGCTGGTGCTGGGGCTGGTTCCTGGAGCTGGCGGCTGGCGCTGGGGCTGGTTCCTGGTACTGGCAGCTGGCGCTGGGGCTGGTTCCTGGTGCTGGCGGCTGGCGCTGGGGCTGGTTCCTGGGGCTGGCGGCTGGCGTTGGGGCTGGTTCCTGGTTCTGGCGGCTGGCGCTGGGGCTGGTTCCTGGTGCTGGCGGCTGGCGCTGGGGCTGGTTCCTGGTGCTGGCGGCTGGCGCTGGGGCTGGTTCCTGGTGCTGGCGGCTGGCGCTGGGGCTGGTTCCTGGTGCTGGCGGCTGGCCCTGGAGCTGGTGCTGGTGCTGGCGGCTGGCCCTGGAGCTGGTGCTGGTGCTGGCGGCTGGCCCTGGAGCTGGTGCTGGTGCTGGCGGCTGGCCCTGGAGCTGGTGCTGGTGCTGGCGGCTGGCCCTGGAGCTGGTGCTGGTGCTGGCGGCTGGCCCTGGAGCTGGTGCTGGTGCTGGCGGCTGGCCCTGGAGCTGGTGCTCGTGTTGGCGGCTGGCGGGTCCAATGGCAGGTGATGCGCGCTGGGCGAGACGGGGGTCTCTGCTGGCGGTGGCGCTGCTGGCGGGGTCTCTGCTGGCGAAGTCTCTGCTGGCAGACGTTGCTAGCGTTGTAGCTGCTGGCTGTCCCACCATGCCCTTCCCCTGCTTCCCTCTCCCCCACAGCGTTCGGCCGCCACTCCCTGCCCTTCTTCCCTCACCCTCCCCACAGCGACCGCCGCTGCACACGCGAACAAGCACGACGGGGGGTGGTGACGGGCAGGGGGTTGGGGTAATGCGACGGGCAGAGCGACGGCGGGATAAGGTGCGGTTGGGGCGACGGGAAGCAGGGCGACAGGCGACGGTGTGCGGACGGGTGGCGGGAATCTGGTGACGGGCGGCAGCGCGACGGGCTGCAGCAGCGGAAATTTCGCGGGTGGCGGGCTGCAGTAGCGGGTAGTGCACGGGGTCGACGGGGGCGAGAGCGACGGCGCGAAACAGCGGGTCGACGAGCGCCGTCACTCCCACCGCGACCGTTGCGTCTGTCACGACTGCCGTGACGGATTTTGCTACGGGCGAGCGACGGGGAGGGACGGACGGAGCCGCGATTTGCTGCTTGACGGGACGCGCCATCGCGAAAGCTAACGGTGGGCCCTTAGGAAAATAGGTCAGGAACGACACACAAGGTACATATAGCAAAATAGCAACGGTGCACCACCAACAACAAGAAGGCCTAACTACACTAAAGCTAAAGCTACAGGCAGTTATAAACATACATAAAATATATATCACGACAATTGGGGGGGGCTTACTCTGTGGGTGCTGCGAGTCCTAGTGGCGGTGGAGCTGTGAGTGACCCTGCTGGAGGTCCTGGAGCTGGACAGCCACCGCAGCCGGATCTACTTGCGAAGCTCTCGCCGCAGGTGATTCGTGCGTGGATCGTTTGGCGAGGCAGTCCTGGTGGTGGAGGGTTCGGTCCCGCTGGTGCTGGAGCTGCTAATCCTGGAGGTGCTGGAGGTGCTGGAGGTACTACTGGAGGTACTAGAGGTGCTGCTGGTGCCAGAGGTACTGGAGCTGCTGGTGTTGGAGGTGCTGCTGGTGCTGGAGTTGCTGGAGGTGCTAGTGCTGGAGGTACTGCTGGTACTGGAGGTGCTAGACCTGCTGGTGCGCTTCCCCACCTTCTCAGTCTTTCGCCAGCTCTGATAGAGTTCCCAGTCCCTGGTACTACTCCTCCGTTACTGTTCCTGCAGCTACTGCCTCACTCCCCACTTCCTGCTCCTGCTCCTTACACTTCTGTGACACAGTCCCTGACTGAGCGTCGAGAGCCTGAGACTCGTGCTTCCACTCCTGAGCATCGAGAGCCTGAGTCTAGAGCGTCTGTTCCGGCTCGTGCTCGTCGTGTACGCCGTCCTCGTGCTCCGGCTGTCCCAGGCACTCACGATATGACACTCCGTCCTTCCTCTGTTCCACAGCATGTTGACCCTGCTGCGTCTGCCCTAGTCGCTGAGCTAGTTGACTTTGCTGCTGCACGCCGCCTAGACTACCTTGCGAGTCTTGTTACTGACCCTGACCCTGTCTGTCCTCCGTCCGTCCGGGGTGAGGTTGCGCTTGGCTGTGACGTTCTTGAGGACAGACAAGAGGAGCTGGAGTGTTTTGCGGCCGCTGCACCTCATCTCGCGACCATGCTACTTGCCCCAGAGGGAGACCCGGATGCACTTGACATCCCCACCCTGCGCTCTTACAGAGACGCGATCTTGGGTGAGTACTCCTCTTAGTGGCAGATAACCATGGACGCAAAGATGGCTTCCTGGAAGTCCACAGGCACCTACGTCGACGAGGGTCCCCCACCTGGGGCGAACATCGTCAGTGGCACGTGGATTTTCAGGGTGAAGCGGCCGCCGAGTTCTCCGTCTGTCTTCAAGGCACGATACATTGCTCGAGGCTTCAGTCAGCGTGAGGGGGTCGACTTCTTTCAGACCTTCTCCCCCACTTCGAAGATGACCACTCTTCGGGTGTTGCTACACGTTGTAGCTCAGCGTGACTACAAGCTGCACTCCCTCTGTGAGGATCTAGGATCGAGCTCAGAAAAGTGGGTTTGAATTGAATGATCCACCTGGGTACAACACGAGGCTATATATAGGCTCAACACAAGGTAGGTAACCCAGGTGTTATGCGAATGTTCAGAGGGTCGCGAAGCGTGCCGAACAGAACCTTCTCGAACTCAGTAGAAAGCAATTCGGTGGAAACCGAATAGGCTTGAGTTCGGTACACGTAACCTGGTTCAGGGCTATAACTATAATAAAATATAGGAATGCACCTAACCTAGGAAATCAAGCATATCTATGCATGATAAAAAAAGCCCAAGCTAGATATAGCATAATAATGTCTAGGCAAGCTAGCAAAGCCAGCATAAGCCGTCGTACTCTCACACGTCCCCCCCTCAAAGCTGGGTGGCGTGAGAAACACCCTGCTTGACAAGATAGTCCTTGAGAGCACGGCGTGCGTTGCCCATATCAGCTTCTGCAACCCAACTGTCCTCAGTGGGGTCGTATCCCTTCCATCCGATCAGGAACTCGAGGGTCTTGCCGCCGCGGCGCCGATGAGTGAGAACGCGCTCCACTTCATACTCTGGGTCATCCTGTATGAGAACAGGAGGTGGTGGCGGTAGCTGTCATCCCTGGAACTGTTGGTTGGGGTCCTTGTAGGGTTTCAGTAGCTAGACATGGAAAGCGTTGTGAAGCTTCCACGTATCTGGTAAGCGCAAGCGGAATGTAACTGGTGTCACCTGTGCCTCAACGATAAAAGGACCACAAAAGCGAGGCCGGATTTTGGATGGGAGGTGAGACAGGTTCAAGTTGCGCGTGTCAAGAAACACCTGATCTCCGACTGCTACTGAGTGATCACGTCGCTGGCGATCGGCATACTGCTTCTGGGAGTTCTGAATCGTGGTGAGACGTCGCTGAGTCTTCTCCCATAGCTGCTGCATGGTGGTGACGAAATCATGTGCGGCTTGGACGTGTGCCGGTGTGGTTGGCTGCTGTGGTGTAAGTGGTTCCCGTCCGTAACACAGGAAGAAAGGAGATTTCCCTGTGGCCGCATGCGAAGCGTTGTTGTAAGCGAACGCAAGCGTCGGTAACTGTAGATCCCAGTGGCTGATGTCGTCTTTGCAAGCTGTGTGCAGTAACTGTTCAACCACCTGATTGAGTTGCTCTGTCTATCCGTCAGTCTGGGGGTGGTATGCTGAAGACATCGCAAGCTTAGTCCCCAACAACCCCATGAGTTCCCTCCAGAACTTACTAGTGAACTTAGGGTCTCTGTCTGGATCCTGTAGGATGAGTACTGGCGGTCTAGTCAGTGCTGTCTGTAGCTGCTCCATGGCTTGCTGTTGAGGAGTATCCCATTTATAGGGCGTATCCTTTTTCAGTAGGTTGGTCAGTGGCGTTGCTATCTTAGCATACTGCGGCACGAACTTGCTGTAGTAGTTGGCGAAGCCTAGGAACTGCTGCAATTCCTTCACGCTGTCCGGTACTTTCCACTTTTTAACGGCTCTGATTTTCCGCGGGTCCACGTGTACGCCCTCGGTACTCACCATGTGTCCGAGAAGCTGCACATCCTTCAGGGCAAAGTCGCTCTTCGACAGCTTCACGTAGATCTTGTTTTTCCGCAGGATCTCGAACACCTTCCGTAGATGCTCAACGTGCTCCTTCATGTTCTTGGAGTAGATGAGTATGTCGTCCAGGTACACTACTACGCACTCGTCCAGCAGGGGCCGTAGGATGTGGTTCATCTCCGCCTGAAACGTTGCTGGTGCGTTGCAGAGTCTGAATGGCATCACCAGGTATTCGTAGGAGCCGTATCTGGTACGGAACGTCGTCTTGTGGACCGAGTTGTCTGCCATCTTGATCTGCCAGTAACCCGACCGTAGGTCCAGCTTCGAGAATACTGTTGTTCCACGCAGTTGATCTAGTAGGTCGTCTATGCGCAGTATGGGATATTTGTTTTTAACTGTCTGTTTGTTCTGCGCGCGGTAGTCGATGCACATCCGTAAACTGCCGTCTGGTTTTGGAGTGAAGAGAACTGGTGCACCATAGGGAGAGGTGGATGGGCGGATTAGTTGTCTGTCCAGTAGATACTCTATCTGTTTCTTCATGTCTGTCAGTTCGGTCGGACTCAGTCGGTATGGTGCACGTGAGACGGGTTTCGCACCTGGTTCCTCCACGATCTCGTACTCATGGGTGCGTGCTGGAGGTACGCCTGCAGGTAGGTCATCGGGCATTATATCCTTGTAATGCTCCAAGACCTCCTTCACTGCTGTAGGTAGCTCTGCGTTCGGCTTCTCCTCTTCTGCTGCTGCCATAACCAGTGCTAGGTATCCCGTGTCACTCTCGTTCACCGTCTGTTCAAATCGTGCCATTGTCGTTTCACGAATGTCCCCTGTGTCCGTCCAGCTTCGTAGCTCTATCTGCTTCCCGTTATTGTAGATGCACACCTTCCTGTTGACCCAATCGATCTCGGGGTTGAACCGCTTCAAGAAATCTCGCCCCAAGATGAAATCTAAACCCTTGATGTTCGTGATCTTCAACGTTGGCTTCCACCTTAGCGGCCCTATGTGCAGCTGCAGTGATGCTTCGCCGTGGATGGGAAGTTTCGTACCGTCCACCATCGTTGCCGAGAACTTGGTTACCTCGGAAGGTTCCCCATTTTTCTCCAACGTCCCGCATTCACACACTGAGTGGGATGCACCGCTGACCACCAGTGCCTGGAGGTGTCGTCCTTTGCATAACACCTCGAGGAGTAGTGGTGCTTACTGCGCTGAGTAGCCAAAGAGGGTCTCATTAATAGGATCATAAGGTACATCCAAATGAATACCATCCCTATTTCCTATACCTGACTCAGCACTTTTCTCTTCCAACTTCACCTGGGGGGTAGGAGGATTTTTCCGAGGCTTGTACAACTTCTCAGGAGCCTGGAATTTTCCTCTAAGCCTTGGCAGCTGTGTAGGCTTCACCTGTGGGCAACGGGGAGCCTTAACACTGTGCTGCGGGGAGAGAATATTAACTCCACGGAACGCACGACCCTTTTCTACGCTCCGTAGTACTTTGCCCAACTTCTCAGGTACCTGAATAATCTCTAAAGGCTTTTTCTTGGCCTCTAAATCTCCCTTGAATTTCTCAAAGGCTTGAAAACCACGAGAAGCAATATTCTTCGTTAGAGTATCTTTATAGGATACTTTTAACGAATTCTTACTTTCGTGGGTGTTCGGCTGGAATTTTCCGGTCAGTGCAGAGTCTTTTTTCGTGGAGCCTCCATTCGCCTCGGCGTTTTCCCCTGATGCCGGCCGGTCGTGACGTTTTATAATCGTGCTATCATTTTCTCCTTTTTTCACCCGCTCCG